AACCCTTGATAAGTTATAGATTATTATTTTCATATCTTACATCATCCTCTGTCACCTTTCACCCACTTTTCTGTTGTTCATTCCCCTGGGAGGGGGTTATATATTTATTGATCCTTGTGATCGATTCCCCCTTTCTCCCCACACCTTCCCCTTATCCTCCTGGTATCTCTATTCTCATTGTTGGCCCTGAGGGGTTTATCTATTCTGGATTCCCTGTGTTGCGGGCTCTTATCTGTAGCAGTGTGTATGTTCTGGTCTAATCTGATTTGTAAGGTAGAATTGAGGTCATGATAATGCGGGGAGAAAGCACTAAAGAACTAGAGGAAAGTTGTGTGTTTCATCGTTGCTATACTGTACCCTGACTGGCTCTATCTCTTCTTTGTGACCCTTCTGTGAGGGGATATCAAATTGTCTACAGATGGACTTTGGGTCTCCACTCCTTGTCCACCACCCCCGGCCCCCAATTCACATTGGTATGATTTTTTTCTGGGTCTTAGATGCCTGATACCTTAACTCATTGACACCTCATGATTACACAGGCTACTGAGGTGCCTGTAACTCTTTATGGGAGTAGAAAGCCTCGTCTTTCTCTTAAGAGGCAGCTGGTGGTTTCGAACTGCTGACCTTGCCTTTAGCAGCCCACTGCATAACCACTATGTCACCAGGGCTCCTCAAATGTGCATTAAGTCATAGAAAACATATGTTATACATATGTTTTATCATTTAATCCTTAGAACAATCCATGGCAGTAGAGCAGTGATTCTCAAATCTCAAAGCAGGGTTTTGAGACTAGCAGCGTCAGTATCACCAAGAACTTGTCAGAAATGCAAATTCTCAGCCCCCACCATAGTCCTACTGAATCTGAAACTCCTAAGGTGGACTCAGCAAGCTGTAATTTCATGAATCCTCCAGATGACGCTGATGCACGCAAGGTTTGAGAACCACCCGCAGAAAACGTCTCCCTTGTACCAACGCAAAGGTTGAGGCTTAGAGATGAGAGGAAGCTGCCTGCCTTAGTTATCATCAACAGAGATGCTACACGCAGATAGATGGCTTTAACAAACAGACACGGGGTCTCTCATAGTGCAGACGGCTCGAGGTCTGAATTCAGAGGGTCAGCTCGCGAGGAAGGCTTTCGCTCTCTGTGCCTCCAGAGTCTAGGGGTTCCCAGCACAGGAACCTCAGGTCCACAGGATGTGCTCTGCTAATGGCTCTCCTTTCTAAGTGGTAGTAGATCCCTCTGATCAATGTTTGCTACTTGATCTCTTTTAAATCTCAGAAGAGAATGACACAAAATATCACCGAGTCCTGTAGATAGCAACCTGACTCATTAACTTCACAGAGGTTAGAATTTACAACAAAAGGATCATTGCATCAGGTCATGAAAATGGAGCATAAGGGTGGTGAGGAAGGTGTAGGAGGCCTGGTAGGGCGTGGTCAAGGGTAATGTAACCACGAGGAATTACTGAAACCCAAATGAAGACTGAGCATG